TTATTTTATATTTTTTTTAGTTGTGTTTATCTTTTGTCACATGTGTGTGTGGTGGTAGATGGTCTGATAGGCGTTTTGGGGTGGCACTTTTTTCATTTCTCTTTTTTGCAGCTGTTGATTTTTGATATATGCGTCCCAATGGTGTTGTTGCCATTTTTTGGAGTCTGTCTGTGACTGCTACTCATTGCTGGTTGTCGCGTTTCAATGCGTTTGACTTTTTGCGCGGTTTGATAAGTGTGCTTAACTGTGTCAAGTGGATGTGGATGGATAAAGTGCTGGCAGGAGTTGAGTTTGCTGTGCAATCAAAAGTGGGCAGGAAATGTGCGTAGCTTTGCAAGTTTTGTTGCCACAGGCACAAGTCGAAAGCACAAAACAAATTGCTGCGCAGTCTGAAGTGCTGACATTTGGAAAGTGTCACTGAAATGCTTGTAAATGATATGATAGAGTAATGATTGTTGCTTGATTTTGTATCTAACCATAAAACAACTAATGGATGCCGCACCATTTACAAACCTCATACAAATGTATTCTATTTATCTTCCGAATTAGATTTATTTGCGTCTTAAAGTTGCAAGGAATGCTGTTGGGCAACATTTAACAAGCTTTCTACTTAAACCAAACTAAATGTTTTTAATTCAGCTCCATCCACTTTCGGTTATTTAGCAACCTATTAAAAAATTATCCCTTTATCCCGTATAATACCCAACTAACCAATTAACATATTCGTACTTACCTACACAGATATCCACGATTAACCCACTTCCGTTGTAACTTTTTGTACAAAAAATAAAATGTATATCTACACGAAATCTGTGCAAAAATTGTTGGCACAGACATACAGCTTAAAAGCTGCATAAAATTAATTGTAATTAAAAATTAAAATGAATTTAACATTTTTAATTATTCAATTTGCTTTCATAATAATTAAAACAAATGTTTGGCCGACTGCTTGCCAAAACAGAAACCAGCACACAAATGAGCCCTCCTCTCTCCGCCTATTTGCGCTTTACTCTTTCGGCATTTTCATGTGTCGCGTCAACCATGAGAATGATAACAAGCCAAATGTGCGGCTAATTGTTTTAGGGGTTGGTGGGGGTTTCGTATCTGGTTTGGGTTTGATTGTGTGTCGCATTCAATTTGCCAAAAGATGCCACCAAATTTGTGCGGGCTTCGCTGTCGCGGTGCCAGTTGCCAATTGGATCCAGTGTCGCTCCTCTCTAATGAGTTTATCTGCAATTAGCTGCGTTTCAAATGCAAATGCTTTGTACATATAACGACGATAACAAGAACAACAAGAACAATAAGAAAAACAACAATGGCATGGCCATGTGAAGTTTATCAAACGAAATGAAATGTTTTTCTAATGATGCTATCAAATGGCTCTCAAATCGTATGAATATATTATCCCAAAGGTAATTAATGCTTAAATCATTAAATTTTAATGCACTACATTCATAATTATAATAGTAATGCTGTATATATTTTGAAATTGTGCAATATACTATAATAATCAGTTTCTTTATGAAGCTCTTCAAGTTTTATTATATTTTGTTTTATTATTATTATTTTTCAACAACCATCAGAAGAAATACAAAAAGCAAACATTTTCACTTACATAATTTCAACTCCTTTTCAGAATACTTAACCATAAAACCTTGTTTTGACCATATAAATATTATGTGAACACTTTTGTACTCATCCATTGAAGTATTCAGACATACTCGAGGTTAAAAGTGGCTTCTGCAACTACTACTCCAAGATATTGGCGAGCATCGAGCTCAGCATGCAACATGCGACTTGCATAACAATTGCAATTTACATTTGTTGCCATAAGTAAAGCTGCTTGCAATCTCTTAGGAGCCTGCAAATAAAATTTGAACCAAATTTAAGCACTTAGAAATGACTCTAATAGCTGTGATGAAAGCTACAAAAAAAACTCATAAGAAAATAGGGCCGAGAGTGCACGACTAGCATATTTCCTAGTTTTCGAGTAACTAGATAGAGACAACAAATGTTTTGCAGCATTTAACATATAGCAAAAATATTAAAATATCAGTTGACTCTTAAGTTTTTCACATTGCCAGTATGAAAAGCCCCAATACAGCCAATAAAAATATAGCGTATAAGCAACAACAATCGGAATCTGGACAATAGGAGTTCCATTGAAGTGCAGCGCAAATGCATTGACAATATAGAAACCTATCAGATATACTCATATACTAATACATATATGTGTAAGTGCATGCGTCAGTATGTGTTGGTGTGTGTCATTTTCTTAAACGCTGCAAAAATTGGTCAACAATTTCATTTGTCGACGCTGTCGGACTGCTGGCAAGGACGCTTTAGTTGCAAGGACCAAACTCTTTCCCCAAATAGACCAGATGTGTGTCAATGTGTGCCCCTCTGTGTCGTTTTAGTGAAATTGCAGAAAATTGTTTTCCATTTCGTTTCATTCTGTTGTTGCGTCTTCATTGCAAATGTGCATTCAAAATTTATTGCAGGCAAAGCACAAAATTAACTGCATACACTCTGTTTCGGGTGCAGTAGTGTCACGCCCCTTTAGAACTGTTGCTGTTGACAATTGAAATAACAATTTGCTGCTTTCCTGCTCTTCCTCCGACCACTTTGCCTAGCTTCCTTTTCATTCAATTTTGCTTTCAATTTTGCCAAGTTGCCAATATTTTGTAAGCAACATTTCGTAAAAGCAGACCAAGCCAGATATCCAGGAAACGGCCAATAAGTTGCTGGACCTCAGCTTAAGTCCCATAGCCAGCTGCCATTTAGAGTTATTGAAATGCTAAACAATAGCTTAGCCTTTGGCTTGAGAATACCATATTTGTAACTTCGGAAGTAATTGTTTGTTATCCCGATAAGATATTTAGATCAAGTAAGTTCTGAATTTATAGATACTTTATATGTTTTGGCAAAATTATATAGAAATGTAATTGCTATAATATATATAAATATGGAAATGATATCGTTGTGAAGCTTTCATTGGGATTGTTATATAGTACAGCTGTCAATTCTCTTGCCCAATCTCCGGCACCTCAAGTTGAAATCACATTTCACTAACTGGTTCAATACTTTAAAGAGTTTTAATTCTTGGCAATGGTATCTTTATTATTTTAACTACTTTGGCAAGAAAGTTATCAGTATTCCCCAAGGGCTTGCCTGATAACTTCACGTTCATTTTGCCATTATCATTTGCCATTCACATTAATCTTGTTCAGCTGCTTTGTCACTGACTACTACAACTCATTTGAAAGTACTGCCAGGCAGCTGACCTAGCTCATCAATATACTCGGAAACAATTTAACCCCTTCAAGTTAGCCCAAAATTAATGTGCCAAAAATAGCAACAAGACAAAAAATGGAAATGGGTTTCTACTCCACACACTTTTGAGAGAGACCAAGACCAACCAACATACTGGTCTCTGGATTTTACAAATTGATTGATTGCGTCAAGGAGTCTCTTTCGCAATGCTCAAAAAAACACTTTCCTCAAAATGTAATTAACATAAGCTGCTTATGCGAGGCGAAGGCTTGAGAGCTGCGTTCGATTTGTGGTTCGATGCTTTCACTTTGTATTTGCTGGCGATTAATAAATTAATCAAAAGCAGAGGTGTTGGAACGAAAGCGAAAATCAGTCAGCCCGTCAGGCAATAACTTGACAATGTCCTATTTCCCGTCTGGCAGCGTGTCCTAAGCGCACTCAACTATCAACAAATCAGTCAAAGTCTGGATTTTGAGCTGCCTTCAGCCTCGCAATTTGCAGTTCTGTGCGTGTATCTGGTGGCTAAAAAAGATAGCTGTGTGCAGTCAACTGTTATCTCTCCAATTTGCCCGCTCCAACACCCTCTCCGCGTATCGCACGTGCACACATGAGACGACCACGCCCCCCACCTCTATGGGGAGACAAACAAGCATATAAATAATTGAAATGTTCACCCAGACCAGGGAGCCATCATCATTGTGGCACTTTGGCAAAATTGCAGCACTTTCTGAAGTTATGCTGCTCGATGGTTGGGTGGTTAGGTGGTTGGCCTCTGCTGACCCTGCTGGCCAAGCATTAAGCAATCAAACATTTGATTTTCATTTATCGTGTAATCAAGCGTAAAAATAGCTTCGTGACCAAAGTAACTCATCATCGCTGTCCTCGTTCCTCTCACAGTTTCTATATATCCATCCTATCTGCCTGCCTGCATGTGTCTGTGTGTGTCCACTTATGGATGGTGTTGATGACATTACGACCATTTGATTGCTTCATTTTTTTTTTAGCCACGTGCATCCATCACGTCGCTTTTTTGCTCTATATAAAAAATGCTGAATATTTGGCCAGTGGGATAAGCGATGTGTCCGAATCTCTACTGGGTCATTAATTGCTTGGGTTCAAGAAGCTAGGACTGTCAGCAAAATTGATGCCTGATACTCCGGGCTGGTTCAGTGAGCAGTTAGAAGTAGTTTGACGCATTCACTTTTATCATTTCGATAGAGAGCGGCAAGGACTATTTGCAGGAGAAGTTCTGCCTTGGAGTTGATCATTTGATGACTAACTTGATTTTTTGTTTTAATAAATGGTTTTAATTTTACTAATGGTGAGAATGTTTGAGTCCAGATAGTCAGTTTTAACGGGACTTACTAGTTAGCTACAACATTTTGTTGTTAATAGCGGCAGTAGCATATCTGATTAAATAGTTTACACAAGATTCGAAGTAAATAACTCTCTGTTACTCAATTTATCGTTGTTTAATTAATTTGTTTAATCAGTTTGGGTCGCTTCAGCATTTAGTTTATGTGAAACCTGTACTTGTACTTGCTTTAAATACAAATACAGTCCCTCAGTTACAGTTCAACACCCAGCTTTGATGACAATGATATGTATTGAAGCCCCAGCCAGGTATTGACACTTGATGAATGCTTCGCTGGCGTTGACAATGCCGTTCATGTCTCTGACATGTTTACACTCTGGTGATTCTCAAGTTCATCATCATCATTTGGTATTTGAGTACTAACGACCTTTAAAATGTGCAGTTTTATTTCGGTTAAAGAAGAGAAAAAATGTAGAAAATGTAGAATGTAGAAAAATATAAACATCTTTACGCTTGACGCTCTTCGTGGTTAATCATAATATTTGGCACTGTTAAAGAAATATTCGAGGCTTGATCGTCTTCAGGGTCTTGCCAGACGGCAGTTGTCAACACGCGCATAATTTTCTGCGTAGAAAAGGTCACAAATGGCAGCGTTGTTGTCGTAGCTCATCTCGGCCACCTTGAATTCCGGATTGATGGCAATCTTAAGTATGTATGTGCCCCGTGGCAGTTCTGTGATGTCCACCCACTGGCAGTCCAGATTGTACAGATAAACATCCGAGCAATTGACAGAGATGCCTGATGATAAAGTTGTTAAAGTTTCCGTTTAAATGTAATCAGATTATTTTGAAATTAGTTATTACCTTGATCGCCAAAGTTGGCGCAGTTGTATTTCTTGTGAATGCCGGGCAGGCAGCTGCTGTCTTCCAGGCAGAAGGATGCCTTGTGGCCCTGGGCAACTTTGCGACCCTCTGCATCGAATATGTCAAAGGTGGCAAACACTTCCATGCTGTGAAAGTGCCTGCAAGAGGAGAATATATATTATATCTTAAGCACAAGTTGGGCTAACTAATCATTATGCTTACATATGACACATATGCCACTCCCACTGGCTCTTCTCTTTAAAGGGTCTGAAGTCCGTGTTGCCCGCATTTATGGCAGCTGCCGTGAACTTGAGTAGCCTTCGCCTCTGGTATCGCCAGCTGGGATCGTCGCGCTGGATTTGATAGGCCTCATTGGAGACGCAGTTCTCCTCCATGGCGCATTGCATAAGCAGCATGGGGCGATCCTCTAAGTGGGCCGTCTGCTCGATCTCATAGAAGTCCACAACCAAATCGGGCGATAGATAATCACAGATTACAGCAGCCACATGCTGTCGACTTCCATGGCAGCTCACAATCCCTCGAATATGATTGTGGTGCAGGCAATCCGCCAGCTCCGTTTCATTCCCATAGCACTCGGTGCCACTGAGCATGGGCCGTGAGATATTGGCACCTCCGAAGTAGTCCGTCTGAAAGGCCTCCCGAGCATAGCCCAAGTCCAGCTGGCGGCAGACAACATTCGCCTCCAACATCGACCAGCCATCCGCACAAATGCTGCCCCAGCGCTGGCCATCAATCCGAACCTCCACACGTCCCTCGTTTCTCGAGCGACCGCCTCGCAATCTCACATATAGCCGTGAATTGGGATGTATGGGAAATTTGGCCAGTGGTCGGTCATCTGCGAAAGTTGCGGGCTCTGCTCTTAGAGCCGCCGCTGGTGGGTTGCACATAACGCCAGCTGCTTCGCTCGGTTCACAGTCGTTGACGCCCCAGCCATCAAAGTGGCACTGGGTCAGTTCCTGTTCGTGTCCCTCGCAGAACAGATTGTCCATCCAGTAACGACGACGAGCGGGTCCAAAGTAGCCACTGTGCGTATAGCGACGTAGACCCAGGAACCCCAATTGGCGGCACACAATTTCACCCTCAGCTGCGTCCCATTCATCGTCGCAAACGGCCCCCCATTTGTTGTTGTGCAGCACCTCAATGTTACCTAGGAAAGGGTTAGAAATGAGGATATTTCATGAGAAATTCCTTATGGTATCGGCATTAATTACGAAAGGAATTAAACCAAGTACCTTCATTTTCGGCATCACCGCCAACAAGACGTATGGCGCCCTCTTCCTTATTCAGGGTCTTGATATACCGTTGAATGAGTTGTTGCTGCTCTTGTCGCGCATCCTGCAGCGATTGATGCACCACGGCTGCGGCCAATTGTGCGCCAATCAGTATCAGCCACAGAACACTTACTGCCAACATCTAATACTATATATTTATATGTAGGTAGTGGGAGCAAAAGTGAATTATGTTCGACAAATCGCGATTTGTGCTATTTGCATTTGCATTTGTTCGGCTCGGCGTGTGTTTGAGAACTGAGACTGAACCGAATACGCAGCAAAGGTTCAAACGAAAATTAAAAAGCAACTGAAATCATTTAACTATGAACTTCAGGTAAGCTCAGGCCCGCTCTGGCAGTGGCATCTACTTAGATGTATCTAGATATACACACATGTGCGAGTATCTGTTGCGGTTCAGAAGCTCGCTCAAAAAATGCTCAAAACGCTCAGCTGACGTCAACTGACGGACAAGGGCGTCGATTGAGAGCGTCTAATGCCATATAAATAAATCGCATACATTCTGTATTACAATTTGTGTCTGTCAGCAGATTGACAGTACATCAATGGCAATAATGTAATTTTCAGAAAGATATTGATGCACTTCTCACAAGCGGAGATTCGAATCTTGCGATAGCGAACTGTGTGAGGCAAATTCGAGCAGGAAAATGGTAAGCTTTTGCTGATAAGATCGACGACAACTAACTGCGTTATTTTATGCACTTATTTAACTACACAAAGTTCTCTCAGTGTAGGCCAGAGAGACTTTAATTAAGTGCTGCTCCATAAACAATGTTAAGGGAAACAAACTAAAGCTTGTTTATTATACTCATATCGTGCCTGCAATAATAATAATAATAATCTGACTCGGATAGCAACAATTATAAACTATTTCTCAGACACATGACGAACATTTAATGAGGCTTCCTGTATTGCCCCCAATGCATGTTTGTTTGCCCACTTCAGCGATTTTCATACGACATTGCAAAATCTGAAAACAAACCAAAACGAAAATATGGAAAACTATGCCATAATTCAGTCCCTGAGCACACACACACAGAGTATTGTGACACACTACATCTATATACGAGAAATATGTGTATTGTAGTTTTAGTTATTGTTGGTATTTTCAACGTTTATCTCTATCTGCATGCACAGCTGGCAAACTCATCAAGGGAAACCCATTATATTTGGCATGCAGCCATTTGAAACGCCGCAAAACGGCAAACGGCAAACGGCAAACGGCCAACATGCAACATTGAGAACTGAACTTGACACTGAAACAAAGACCAGTAACAACAAAAACACAACAGCAACAACAGCAACAAATGAAAAATGAAAACACGCGGTAATGACGTTTGGATTTGTCTCGGTTGTGAGTTGCATGTGGGTTGATTTGCTATGTGTGTGTTGGTTGGGTTTGAGCTCATTAGCAAAAGTGCTAGCATAATCGTAATTGGAAATCTAACCCGATTAGGTCAGCGGAAGAGAGCACACACCAAATCAGAATGAAAGAGAGAGAGAGAGACAGAGAGACGAGAGGAGGAAATATACAAATCCATTGAAGCGTGCCCCAAAACAGCCGTTGAATACATTTTCAAGATCAATCCGAACACAACCAAGTACAGAAAAGTAATAAACGTGCTATTGAAATAACAGAATGAGATATTTAAAACTGAGTTGTTTGATGAATTGATACATTATATTCTGGATATAAAATCTGCTTTATAACTTAATCGAAGCAAAGTAAAACTTTAAGATGTACTAGTATTCGAATCCTTACACGAAGTGGCTATAAATATTAGCGAGGCACAATTAATTGGATAAACGTTTTATGATATTGAATTATGATGGCTGGGGCTGGGGTCATTCTTTGCTAAGAAACTTTGCTCCGAAATTCCCACACAATTCAAACGGCCAATTTTATGAGTGCGTAAATTCCAATGGCAGTTGCCAAAGGCGTATGGACAAGGACAAACAATCCTTGTGCTTTACTCCTTGGCTTTGCAGCAGAGGCAGCAGCAGCAGCAGCAGCACCAGCACCAGCACCAGCAGCGTCATGCACAAAGGTAATAAAATTCGATATAAAATCGTGTAATAAAATCATTACTGGCCCTTGGTCTCTGTGCCAGGCACTAAAATCAAACTGGTCTGAGAACGCCAACGGCATCAGGCAGCAAAAAAACGGGCAGGCGGCAAAGGATATGACCCAGTCTCAATACCAATACCAATGCCAATACCACTCCCAATCCCTATTCCAATCTCAAGCTCAAGCCCAAGCTCAACACATAAAAATCGCAATGTGTGCCGCTGGCTAAGCGAAGCGACAAGTTAAAAGAGCATCGGCTACAGCCGCAGTATCCTCCAAAGATGGGGGGAGCTGTAAAAAAAAAAAAAATGGAAGAAATGAAACCAGCGCGAAAATAATTTGTGTGGGTTCTTTATTCATTCGCAGTGCTTGAGGGCCCTGGCGTAGGAAGTGTAATAATAGGAAGTAAAAGAGCAAAAACTGCTTAAAGGATATTGAAAAGCGATAAATTGCCTTATTACTTAAGTGAGCCAGATGATTAGGTTAGTCTTGCAACCGCCCCTGTTTCTCATTAAAGGAGTTCAACTCGACTCGGTGCACGCAAACTGAAAGTTAATAAGCTCCATAAACTACAGGAAAATTTAATATTATTATGAGTGCAATTAAATGTTGGAGGTATTACTGGCGTGTTCGACTGAGCGATACGCTCTAATTATGCTACTTGTATACGAATTATTGACAAGATAAGCACTTTTGACTAGATTCAAGGTTTAGCAGCAATTATTAAAGATGTGGTCAAATAAACAATAACAAACATAACATTATTTACTCATCCATCTATCAAGATAATTCCCTAAACAAACTTCTAATTTGTTATAAATTAACCGCTGCTGTCAACGGTCCAGTGAAATCTTTCAAAACAAAGCTTGCAGTAGTATATTATTTTCAGTTGCCACACACACAGCCAGCTAGACACAGACTGGTAGGCCATAAGTTCATTTTGTACAAAGCCCCCACAAAATGACATTAAAAGCTGTGATATCTCTTTATAATGATATCATGTATGGGCGCTCATTTGAACATTAATAAAAATTGTAGGCCGCTGACAGTATAAATGTCACCAAAGTGCTATTAAAACTAAATTATAGCCGACATAACCATGATTCATTAGGACAAACTCAGAAGACGCCGAATAAGTAATCATAAAAAATTCCAAAATGTGGCAATAACTCGCAAATTTGTAGCTAGCTTAAATATAAATGAAAGAATTGTTTATTAATTCGTAATATGAAGGCAAATCATAAAGAATGAACAGCAGAAGAAAAAATGTGGCAAGGCGTGTTCGGTTTTGAATACGTGCCAAAAAGTTCACAATTATCGAATGCCTCTGCTTGAATACCCTTTTTATGCGAATTTCAATGGAAAACGGCGGTGGGACTTTAACTGGAACTTGAACTGGGAGAGGCTTGGCTGGGGTTGAAACTGGGGCTGGGTTTGGGGCATCAAAGTGAAATAATGAAATTTAAATGCGCCTTATGCTTTGGCAAACTCAGTCAGTTGGACACACGAAAGTACGAAGCAATAAAAACAATAATGAAAACAAGCGAGAGACAATCGCTGAATTGAAACCAAAGGGGCAGGGCATTGAAATGGATCTGTTTTCGTTTGGAATTATAATGAGCTTTATTTTGATATTATGTTTTTCTCTATATTTGTGCAGCGCATTCCAAGAAAATTACTGTAAAAAGATAATTAAATTTGTTGCAGCATTTGAAACTTGTGCAGTTAAATAATTGCTTAATAAATACAACATTTTGATAGATATCTCATTAAGGTTGAACTTTTTTGACAGTGAGTATCAGTTCGTTACTCTACTATCTTATGTATTATTTAACAGTTTAAAATCTCAAAATTTGGAAGAATAATAAATTTTGTAATTGGTAAAAATGATTTATTGAAGCGTTTAAATACGCATGAACTTCCAGACAAGCTGTTGATCTGCGACAAACCAATGCCAATGCCCAGTCTTTGTAAATGTATGAATATTGGAGATATTGTATACAAAAACCAGGTGGCATGTCCTGTCTTGTGCACCATTGGCCACACATTTTCGATGTTGTAATGCAAAGACTGTGTTTTGTTTTTTTTTTTTTTTGTATGACAATAAATTCAAAATACAATAAGAGGTAAATATTGTAGGTATTATGTTTGAGAGCGGTCTCTAGCAAGTAGCTTGAACTTTACAAATAATAAAAATATCCATTACAAGCTGGATTTTGCTGTAAATACTTGTACTTGTTGTTAATACCCTCTAGAAGGCTTAGTTGTGATGTGTGCTGAAAGCCAGAGAGTTTCATCTTATTGCTTGAGCTATAAGATTGGGCATGATGATAACCTTTAAAATAACTATCCTTAACTATCCCAGTTTAAAATAAATAAATGAATATATGTGCTAATTTTTGGCACAACAAAAATGGTATCTTATTTTGCTGGTTTATAAATTTATTCATTAAATTATATGTTTATATTTACTGATGTGATTTCATTCAGCTCTTATAATAAATATACACATATGATAGGGTATTTAAGAATCCATACACACAAGATATCTTTATTTTCTGTTTTTTTGTGGCTTATTTTAATTTCGTTTTGCTCTTTTCTGTCTATCGAATGCCTGCGGCTGGGCCGTGCCAGGGATTTGCCACAAAACTTTTGCGCTTATTTTTTCGTCTGTCTCCAGACGCAACAACGACGGATAGACTCCGACGTCGCAGCCTGAACTTATGTGTGCAAATATTTATTTTAGGATTTTTATGAAGTTGACGAAAAATAAATCAAAAGCAGAAGCCGGAAAATCGCCGTGTTGCGTCTTGGTTAATAAAACTCAACTTCTACAGAGTCAGTTTGCTGGCTGGCTGGCTTGCTGGCTGACTTGTTTGCGTCAATAGCCGTTGGACTGTCATTTAAAATGCTTTAATAAATTATTTGAAAAATCTCAACGTGAAAATCAATTAATTTGTTGTTTGTTTTCCCCCCTTTTTTGTCCGCCCATATGTATCTAATTGAATATTCCATACAATAAGTAAGCTGCTACATGCAATAAAGTTTTAAAAAATAGCACACATTCACATACACAGGCTACACTCAATTCCATTGTTGTATCGGTTGAATTCACTGGCACAGACCAACTATATGTTATAGCCCATAATGGAAAATGTCCCTGATGCGAACTAAATGAATTATGTAACATGTCTAGCCATTTAGTGCCATAATTCAGAGCAATCTATACCAGCAGACACATCAAAGCCGGACAAAACGAGCCTAGTTTAGGGCGTAAGCGAACCCACTTCGGCTGAGGAGGAGGATCCTAAATTGCTCTGCAGCGAGACAAATTGCATTTGCATAGGATAATTGGAATTGCATATTGAAAAATATTTATGCCTTGAATCAAAAAAAAGGGGTGAAAAAACGATTGAAAACAATAATTTGTTGGCGGTTTTGTGGTCTTTTCTGTTGCAGCTTGTTGGTAGACAATGTGGGCTTATTGATATCAACTGGCACGTGTAGGGGCAAAACAAATTGAGTTTTTGCAAAAATTGAGAAACGTTATTGTTGAACAAATTGGTATGGATTTAGCAAGCAAGGTTTAGCTATTATTGGGCATATAGTTGGATCAAGTATTAAGCGTAATTGATTTCAAAATGACATATCTCTTATGTTTATTTTTTCTGAATATATTTTTTGTTCACCTGTCATTTGGCTTTTGTTTCGATAATTTAGCTAATATTGTTTTTAAAAATTACTAAGACAGATCGTTAATGTCTTGAAGATGCCCGTCGCCGTCCGTTTAGTTGAGGCCTTGGCCATTGTCACCCTCATGGCCATAATCACTTGCGTCTCTCTTGGCGTCGTCATTGCTCAGCGAGCTCTAAGCTTAACAATTAATTTCATAGAGGTAAGTACGAAGGTCCTGCGTGTCCTTATTTTTAAATTTAATATCTCTACATTCCTTAGCCAGCAGCAAACATCCTCGATATGTTGCTGATAATAACCGAAAAAATGTTGGTCGGTGCGTTGGCTTTCACTGTTACTCTAATCAATATTGTTAGCAATGGATTGCATATGATTGGAATTGCGTGAGACATTCATTTTACGTGCAATAAGCTGCCAAGCTACGTGTTAAATTAACTTAATGACCAAGTTTATTAAATTAATATCTGTGCTTGTGAAGAAAATTTGGGAAAATCCCTCAAAAATGTACAAAACTTGTTTTCCTATTAAACTTTAAATACATGGAATCCATCGCTGCAATTTAAAAGTCGGCTTTGGTCTTTTAGCAAACCATCGAAAGAGAAAACGAAACACGAATTTATTAAGGCACCGCCCTAATATTCAATCAAACAATTTTACGCCCCAATAAATATTTCTAACCTGCAGGCCGCAAAGCCACAAAATGCGCTCAATTGCAGCAAATTTGCGCCTTGCCTGTAAGTGGAAGGGAAGAAAAAATCACAAGCAAAAAAAAAGAGAGTAAACCAAAATAAAAATAAATATTTTTTAGCCACAAAATACAAACTTCGCCCGAGGATGTGCATAATTTTAGTGGCCGCACTCCTCTCTCTCTCTCTCTCTCTCCCTGCAATTGTTTTTATTATATTTTTCTCACTTGTATTTTTGCTCGGCACGGCAAAAGCCGCCTTTAATGTTTTAACACCTTTTGTGCTGTTTATTCTATTATTATTCAGTTATTTATCAGTGCCGCAGCATCGTTTCCAAACTGGACACCATTGGGACAAGCACGATTCATGCTGTGTAGGAGTTGTGCGTGGTTGTTGTCGGTGTAATTTTTGTTTTGATTTAGTGGCAATTTCGTGCAAAAAAATTGTTCAATGCCTCGGGGCAAAGTTAAAAACAAGCAGATTACGGACGGAAATTGAAACGGCTCGAGATGCCAGTTAACAAGCGAAAGAACAATAACAGCTCAGTCACCCGAGGGTCAGATATTATATATATATATACCCTGTATCCATTAAGAACTGGTAAAATTGGCAACTTGAAGTTGTGCCAATGTATGTAACCAGCAGTAAACATCATCTCTTATATTGCTGTAGCAGCTTCTTTAATTTTAAGGAATACACAATAAATAAAATTTAGTTAAACATATTGCGATACCAGTCAGAAATAAATGTCCTCTCACTGCGCTCATCACATGCACTGTAGCTGAGAATACCCGATTCGGCTGCATAGTCGAATTGGTAAACCGCATTTGGATCATCTATTTGCATCGTATCGCGAACCCGATGCAAGGCGTGTGACATAAACCTTATGCAATCGAGCATCACCTACAAACAAGTGAATAATAAATAAGCGAAATGTTAGATATTTACACTACTCACGCTATTGCTAAGTAATTGAGATGTGAGCTGCGTTGTGATGTTCGATACACAATTAGAGCCGTTTAAATGAGCTACAAAAAGTCGTCTTACTTTTGATAGTTGCTGGAGGAGGTTGGTCGATACGAAGCAAGGTTGTATTGACAAAGTTATCGTTGAAAGCTTCAGCAAGGAGATGCGGGCTTCTGCCTGTACATGCTTTGCATAGCTCCGTTATAGCCCCCTAATGCCAGAATTACGCACATCATTTTCAAGTATTAAAAATAAATAAAAATACGAAATAATTTCCAAATTCATGGGCATTGATTGCCTTTATTTCAAATATATTTTTAACTCTGGATATAAAATCTTAAGCACGAGAATCTACTTCTGGTACTTCGGGATCCTGGCTGCTCTCGGTCGCTGTGACCATCTCTGGCTGTTCCGTTGAGCTGCTGCTACCAGCTTCAGCTTGAGTGCTCGATTCCTCCCCCGACTGGTTGCAGGTGCACGAGTCGCGAGTGTTTGCCTCAATCCACTCGTTAAAGCTGCTGACGCGCGTGTAGACGCCAGGTGAGCCGGGTTGGGCGCAACCTTCGCCCCAGGATACAATGCCCGCCAGTTGATAGGATTGCGCTGCGCCAATGACATGCATCGGTCCACCGCTGTCGCCTTGGCAAGAATCCTTGCCGCCCTCGGCGTAGCCCGCACAGATCATATTGTCGGTGATCTTGTCATTGCCATAGTTGCTCTCGCGACACTCCTGCTGGGACAGCACGGGCACTTCCACCTCTTGAAGAGTATTGGATATGGGTCCACCCTCGCTGAGCGCACCCCAGCCTGTAACCACAGCCGTTTGGCCAGCATATGTTTCCATCGGCGTTGGCAGACAAACTGGATGCATTTCAATGCCAAGAGGCACTGGCTCATTGAAGCGTATGAGGGCAATGTCACTGTCAAAGTTGAGTGTGCTATAATTGGGATGCACCAGGACGCGAGTGACACGTCTGTCCACAATTTTCACATTGCTATCCTGATGATTGTGCTCGAGCAGTCGAACTGTGATCAGTCGATGATAGAAACCATTGACGCAATGGGCCGCCGTCAAGGCATACTGATCGTTGACCAACGAGGCGCCACAATAGAATCTACCAAACCACATGAGCATTGCCATCCACGGATACTCGTGCACCTCGGTCTCCTGGCCTCCAACGATGCGATGACGTGAATTGATGTTGCCACAAGTACAAGCAGAACACTTCCGCGTAGGGGGCACACTTGTGTACTCTGGACCCATTGCGGAGACGATCCAGTCGAGAAAGCTATTCTGTCGTAAGTTGCTCAAAGACTCCAGTATCTGGGCTGGCTCCGAGGAGCTGCGCAAACTGGATGAAGCAGCCAGGCTTAGGCCCAGCAGTAAGAGCAAGCAAATGTATCTCATTTCTGTATCGAAGAATAACTCTTTCGGCCAACCGACAATTGGCAACTGAATTGGCGCATCCTTGCCACTGGCAGCCAGAAGCCAAACTAGAATCGCGCAAGCTGAACCTGAACCTGAACCTGAATCGGCTTCAGAACTGGCTAGACCAGCCAGCAAACCGGACCACCAAAAGGTTATTGCCGTTGCCACAGATTGGAATGCTCCAAGAATACATTTTTCTTTACTTTTTTCTTTCTTTTTTTTTTTTAGTATTTATCAATAAATAAGGAAATGAGCAATTTAAAATATCTTCGACAAGTCGAAGTCTGTAATACACTTGCAGAGAGAATGCCGATTAAGTTCGATCAAGTTTTGATAAACTAGAGTTTAGTTAAGGCAACATATCTAAAGAAAGAAATCAGTTTTTTATGTTAATAAAAAAACTGAACTTTCAATCGATTGTTTTTCAAATTTTTGAATATAAGTTTTCTATCGATTTTTCACGAAACAGTTAAAGTTTTTGCAAGTAAAAACTGGAATTTCGTTCAATCGTTGCTATAGGATTTATAAAATTTATCCAATTAGGTAGATTTCTTTAATTTATAAAGTATCAGCAATGATTAACTACTCTGCAAGTGTCTACTGAGAATTCTTATTGCTACACGAACTGAACTATGCGCCCAATTACTTGATCTTCTTGGTCTCTTGATGGCACAGACAAGCCTGCTTGGTGAGGTTCTTGATCCAGGTGCCATATCGATTTACTCTGGCATACACACCCGGATAACCGGCCTTGGCACAGCCCTCACCCCATGAGACGACACCGGCGATCTGATACTCCCGAGTGCCGTTGGGCACAATGTGTAAGGGACCGCCGCTATCGCCCTGGCAGGAATCCTTGCCGCCCTCATCGTAGCCGCCGCAGAGCATATTGTCCGTGATCTTGTTGCCATAGCGACTTTTGCGGCACGCATCTTGCGATAGAATGGGCACCTGAACCTCCTAATAAAATAAGGCCAGCTTGTCAATATACTGCTCTAAGACACTGTATAGGTATTAGCTGTTTGCTTACCTGCAGTGTGTCTGAAGTGGGTCCGCCCACTTTGATTGCGCCCCAGCCGGTGACAACGCCCGTTTCGCCCTTGAAACTGCGTCCTGGCGTTGGCATACAAACCGGATGCAGTATCTCATTGAACTCCACCGGTTCGTCCAGCTTAATGACGGCAATATCGTTGTCATAGTTGCGTGCATTGTACTTGGGATGTGTGGTTATCTCGGCGACCTTACGATCAATCTTCTGTAGATGCGACATTTTGCGATCGTGCTCCAGCAGACGCACTGAAATGCGCTCCTTGCGGAACCCGTAGACGCAGTGCGAAGCCGTCAGCAGGAACTGATCGTTGAGCAGTGAGCCGGCACAGTAGAAGCGTTCGCCATACAGTAACATGGCCACCCAAGGATACTGATGCACCTCCGTCTCCTGGCCGCCGACAATGCGCTTCTGAGTGTTCGCCACGCCACAGACGCAATCGGTGCAGTTTCGAGGTGGACTTAGGGTTGGTGGCGCCGGCGTTGTGGCCTTACGAGTGGTTGTCGGTGGTGGCGCCGTTGTGGTGGTGCTAGTTTGCGTTGCAACATCTGGCATCTCAGTGGGTGCCGTTGCCGAGCTGCTGAGCGTGGCAATTGTGACAGGCTCTGGAGAAGCATCGGGTCGCTGCGGCAACAGAGATAAGACCCATTGTACAAACGTGTTCTGGGATTGCTTTAGCAGCAGTGAAGCTGGTGTGGTGCCCACCGAGGGACCAGTGGTTGTGTTAGTGGTGTACGCTGATCCGAACAGCACCAGCAGCAAGCAGAACGTCAGGCAGATCGGCTGGCAGCTCAAAGACATTTTTGTCTGGTGTAATGGTTGCTTTCTCTAGTTGGCTTGGGCGACACCACCAACTCGTGTGGCTCGTTGCAAACTGAAAAGCCAGCCACGAATTTGAAAGCCAGCGACAAACATTTCACCCAAATTCACATGACAAGCAACCGGGCAGAAAAAAGTGGTTCTGGCCTGTGGCACGTCCACTTTGCCAATCCACACACACACACACACATACATGTATATAAATATATAAATATATATTTGTGTATTTGCTTTTGTATTTGTGTCTATATCTGTATCTGTATTCTGCGCATGCGTAGGCTACGCCGACTTGACCATGATAATGATACTTCACCCAAAACCACATAAAAACTCATCGAATTCAACTCAACGGTTTTTTATGCTCTGAAATGTGGATCGACTTCGAATAATATGTAACTTATTAGTCGGAGAGCTACTTTCTTCTTTTTAATATAACGCAAAGTAATTCATTATTATTATTTTATAATTTTATTTACAACATATTTTCACAAACTATTTAACAAATTACAAAAAATAATTCTCTAACTTTGATGCTTGAAATATTTTGCTCTTCAGTTTAACTATCAGTTAATTCCTAAAACTATATTTGATATTGAAACCGGTTTTTGTATTAGAGCATTTAAGCTTCGATATGCTTAAAAATACAAATTCTTTTATTTTCTATAGTTTTGGTTCGTTTTTTTGTTTTGCCACTGAAGTAGCGAAAGTTTTTTTTCTCCTGATTTTATTGAAATACATTTTGTGTATGCCGCATATTCGCAGTTCGATCGCACGACGCGTCGTAATTTTACTTTCTTTTGATTTATTTTATTGGGCGAATGTTTTTTTTATTGTATTGTGTGTGTCTGCTTCTTGTTTGCATTAGCCGTATAAATATATATTTATACTTTTTTTTTGGGTTTTACTGTGCTGGCCGCTTTTTGTGCTGCTGTTTGTCATGGTACCACAACCAACTCCACTTAACTGTTAACATTTACATCATTTACGTGGTTGGCTTGGTCAATTCATTGCTTTGTGCGTTGTGTATACAGGGTGTTTAGGGTAGCTGCTGTAGTTTGTGGTGGGCTAAAATGGTTGACTCATTTCAAGTAGCGCATAAATTGTTAAGTAATCAGAACTATACTTAAACTGTCAAATAGGAGGAACAGCGCACTAATTGTATTTGCACTCGTAAAACTTTTAGTGCAGTTAAGAAGTTAAAACCCCTTTAAAGACACAACCGGAATAACGCCCCGTTGACGTAGACCTGTCGGGAGTTTTGTTTTTGTTCTGTGGCCAACACAATTGTTGGGGCAGATTAATAATGGGCCAACCAACGCAAAAATCGCGCGTGTCTGGCTAAGCTCTGACTCATATATATATACATATGTGGGTATGGCTCTCAAGTAGTCAGCCCTCGACTATAAAATTTAATGCGTGTGCTCGTGCATTTGAAGGGGAAAGGGAAGCGTTTGCGTCTGCGCCGTTTTGTCGGGCAGTTGAACAATTATTGATAGATGGCCGCAGTTGACAGATGAGCGCCGTATAAGTCAGATGCAGATGCAGATGCAGATGTAGATGCAAATATTGCTGGGCAAGTTGATGGTTTTGTGGCCACTGGAAAAAGTCATTAGTATGCGCACACAAAACACTTGGCATATTAATTGTGCGCGTAATGTGGCCAAGGGCCCAGATCTGGGTTGGACAGCGGCATGTGGGGCAGCTATCAATGCTGATGACGAACTAATGTCGAGCTCAGCATCAGTCTCCAGTCTCAACCACAGTGCGTTGTTAAAATAAACTGCCATTTGCATAATAGCCATGCTAGACAAAAAGCCAAACAACACACACACGTACATATTTAAAATGGGAGTGTCTATGAGTGTGTGTGTATTGGGTTATTTATGCGATGAGGTAGTAGAACTGCAGACCTGCACTTGGCTTCGCAATTATGCAAGGCTGTCTTGTTGTTGGCTTCGAAACGTGACCACCAACATCGGAACTTCTCTCTATCCCTCTCTCCCCCTTCTCTATCTACCTCTCTCTCTCTCTTTCTGGCTGATTGGTAGGCAGAGCATGGTCAAAGGGTTTGGCTGTTAAACACGTCGGCAAATATATTAATAGGTTTTGTAATATGCACATTAGATGCCACTACAGAACATCCATTAAATCTGCTTCGGGCCAGCAATTAGTGAGTTTCTACTCTGGCTAAATTGCGTGCCCAAGTAGTCAAATTGATAAGTCATAAAAAGGCTAAGCCATACAACTTAAAGAGTTTATTCTAACTAGTTTAGTCTAGTCTAACTAACTTAAAATTTTGAGATAGCATTTTCAGTATATAAATTTTAATTTCCGCATTCGATTAGACATTCAATTATAAATTCAACAGTTTGCATTGTTATATATATATTGAAGTTTTCAATAAACTTCGAAAAATGAGTTCTTAATCCACACATGGTCGAGCAAAAATAAAAAATAATAAAAATACTTCAGGCTGCAGACTGAAATTTAAATTACTCCCTTTGAATATTGTCCGAAAAACCTCAAAAAACAATTAAAAACGTGTTGCTGTGACCCTTCTATTTGGACACGGTTTGGAAAGAAAAAATTGGGAAGTTGGGAAGTTGGGAAGCTGCAAAGTTGGGAGCCGAACATGCTGTGCTACATGTAAATGAATTTTCCACAGACAGTTTGGCGCGTGTAAAAATTTCACTTTTGATTTATGCGCGCAATGTGGGAAGGCAGCAACCCTCGATGGACTAAGTACAAAGGGGGAAGAAGAACGGGATAGCTCCATTAAAGCCCAACAGCAATCGAGTGGCAACATAGATATTGCAACATATTTGCATATACAACCTTTATGGCCAACTATTACAGTGCATAGATAATGTTTTACTATGCGCATTGCGAGTTAGCATAAAATTTTATAAGCCAAGTTAATTAAACTGGTAGTTGGTAGCTGGCAGTTAACAGTTAACTGCCAGAACAGTCAGACAACTCCTTCCCAGAAGCTTTGCGGTGGTGCCTGGCAACTTTGTTCATTTGCAGTCGAAAATTTAATTAGTTATTCCATTTGCGCTTTCAGTTTTTTTTTTTTATCCACAAACACACATACATACATACGAATATATATATGTACATCTTTTTTATTTATATTTGCTCGCACTTTTCATTTTGGCATTCATACAAATTAAGCCAATGCGCTCTTTGGCAGTCCGGTGAAAGGTGTTGCGGTTGCCTAAAGGATTCGGATTCGGAGCGTGGTCAGTTGTAGAAAAAAAAAATGCATGTCGATCTCAACAAATAGAACACAAATGCAATGCAAAAAGTGATACATACCTGTGCCAACTAAAAGACATGAGTGCCTTGAAAAAGGATTTCCACACCTGCATCGAAAAAGGAATTGCAATGCATCAAAAGGGCACGCAAGGTGCTTCGAGCTCATGTAGCCATTTCAACAAGCTTCATAATGATGGTGCTGTATGGAGTTGGGGCTGTATAGTAAAACTACCATGAAGGTCAAAGAATTGAATGAAACTTAGCTTGGCGTGCAACGCCCAAGACTCTACCCGGTCATGCCTCAAAAACTTGCCGCCAAGTCCAGAAGGCAGGCGAAAAGTTTTGAATTGCAGCAGCAAAACTTGTAGGGCTCGTTGTAAGTTGAGTTTGAGAGGCAGCACGCGATTTTTGTCGATTATGAGTTGCTCTTGCAGCTGGAGGATACAATTCTGGGTTACATGCTCAACTGGCAATAATTTGCATGCAACTCAGAAGTGGAAGTAGCATGCAACGTGAGTGCCTCACGCGAGCCTTGTAACAGATTAATTACACAGCCATGTGAAATCGATGCGGACCAAAACACAAGAATTTGTTGTAAAAAAAAGGTGTTAGACGAAATTCGAATGCGATCGATAAATGCAGCTGATAATCAAGCTAACAACTCCCATAAAAATAATAATTCATATCATTCAGTTCTTCACAGTTTTTCACAGACTTTTGTCGAAAGAAACAGAAACTGCAGTTGAATTTCCGAAATGTTATAAAACACTTTGTCGCCTTCTCACACGCTTTAATATACAATTCATTTATTACTGCAAGATGAAAAGTTTATTTTTCATTGCCATCAATGACAATAATTTCATTTACGCTATGCCACTTCCGCCGACAATAAAATTAACAGCGGATTTAATTAATGGCGGTTTGCACTTTTCGCCTTTTATCTGGTTTGCCGTTCAGTAACACTGTATCCCTCTATGGTTTGATTTTGGTTTTACTTTGTTTTCGCTTTTGCACTGGCGACCTTTGCTGATTGCATTTTAATAGGAAATCGGTTTTTTTATTATTGAAATTTGCATGGATCATGGTTGAAAGGCAACAAATAAATTATTTAATAAAATTCCCAAGCCAACAAAATGAAAAAGAATGTGCGGGAACTTTTTTGTTTATATTATATTGCATTGTTTATTAATTTGTTTAAATACTTAACTTTTGAAGCATTTTCATGCATTTTGTAAAAGCTTTTCATTTTTAAATAACACCAAGCAGACAGCTGAAAGAATTGTAGGATATTTCCGACCGATTGATTTCTTTTCTTGTATATATATATATTAATAATCTGTGTTGGCCTGATCTATTTCCATTGGAATATCATTTCTTAATGCGTGTCAAATGTATAAACATAAAATAAGTTATAAAGCCCATTTGCATAATTTATTTTCTCACATTCACCTAGTTATACTAATGATGACTACTTTTTTTACAGATCATCTTGTGTTTTATGATTTAATTTTGTGCCAATTAAATATGCCATAAAAAAATGTTATGGCAAAGTTGATAAATAAAAACGGGTAAGCTTGTTGCTATATTAACGATATAATTTCTATTGATATAATGAGTCTTTATGAGTCATAAAATGTGTCTACAATCGGATAGCAAAGGTCACGACTTGACAAGCAAAACGCAAAGAAATTCCAACAACTTGTCGCCCAACATTGAAATCGTTT